ATTTTCATGCATGTAAATCATTCTTTCGCTCATATTTTGCCCTAGTTTTATTGAATTAGCATTATGTTAACATGTTGACATTTAATTTATCGGTTATTTAAACACTTTATCTGATTATCAAAGTTAAACTATTGATGTGATTTATACCTTTTATCTGAAGTATACTTCAGTTTTATTGTTACAGATAAACGTCATTACAAAGTCACCAGTGACCAGTAACGGCTGTTCAGGTAAATAGTGTGTGTTCGGATATATCAAAACTAAAAAGTCTGCCAACAGAACTTTCTACTGACCCATATCATGTACATAAACAACAATAAAAACTTACTTTAATTCGATATTTTATTGTAATCTGCACATCAGAATACAATCATCAAAGCAAAGTTTCTATCACAGATCTGCATAAAAACATGTTAAAAATCTTTAAAAAATTAAAACTGAACATGGATTTTGTAAATTCTAGTATCATAATTGTTTATTTTCCAAATCAAAACTACAAAGCAGTTTATTTTGACACTTTAAACACAACTACTGCCTTCCAAGAAAACCAAAGACCTTTAAGTACTTGGTCACTTATTTTATCATTAACAACTGAACCACCTCTGATCTAAAACTATTCTTAACCTTTTTGCTCAGTTTTATTCTTATCTGAATATTCACCTTTTCTTTATCTACCAATAAACCCCTGGAACTACAAGCTAACATATTTACTATACTTAGAGTCCTCTGCATATATGTGTAAAAGTTATCTGACTGCTCTTGTAAGCCTTATATTTTGTGTACACTGGATTAATTACTTTCAAATGGCAGAATAGTGAGATCCAACATTCATATGAATTTCAAAAAAATTATATTTTCTATAAACCTGGCACTATTTTTTTGGTCATCATTTCTTCATGATTTCAGAAATATTTATGTAATTCAATTCAAAAATGAAGTGTAAGTTTCTGCAAGTGTGCTTGTTAGCTCCTGGAAACAATTCTGAGATATTTTTTATCTAAAATTTAAGACTTTCCAGTGCATGTAAATGTCATTGCATTCACAACTGGATGAATGACAAAACAAGAAAATTCAAATAACATTAATCAATACTCTATGATTATGGTAAAACCCAGCATAAAGCAACCTTTTCGGACACAAAGTATAATAAGTAAGGATAAAGAAAACACAGAATGATTTTGTTCCCCTTCCAGCAAGAAATTAATGCAGAGAAAACAAATTACTGTACATTTTTATTTTTCAACAAAGTGGATCTCTTTGTATCAGCAGATATACCAATGAAAAACAGATAAATTGATTCCATTTGGAATTATCTTCTTCTCAAATTAAAATGAGAGAAAACAATTTTCATGAAACAACCCTCAAAAGATCGATTAAACCTTAATTCATGAAATGATTTTTCAAATTCATAAAAAATTTTACTATAATTTTCTCAGATTACTTTCACATTTAGGAGAGAAAATCCATTTGAAATCCATATAACATTATCAAAATTCATATATTTCAAAAGAAAAGTATTGTGGAAAACCTCTGTAAAAATATTTACCTTTATCTATTACATCTTGACTAGATATAATGATTTAATCAAACAATGATGACCACGGTAAAACCGGTGACTGGTACAAATCCCAAGTACATTGAGTTTCTATAAAAATCATTAAATCACAAATTCATCTTGACGACATATTATTTACAAAATTGTCTCTTAAAGCATTACAAAATGCCCTATTTCCTTCAACACGATATATTTCAAAACTTCATGTCAAATTTATCAAGAGGAAAAAAGTAAACTTCAAAAACCTTAATTTTCAGAAAAATAAAAATTTCTGAAAAGTGATAAACTTAACTACAAAACACCACAAAATAACACAAAACCCCACTTGCTTAATGCCAATTCCTGCAGTTTGAATGAAATCATACTAAAAAAATTAGGCAGGTATAGAAAATAGAAAATGACAGAACAGTAACAATATGATCCACATTTTGTCTTCCAACAGGAACTACAGGTACAGTAAAATCAATCTATTAAATATTTGGTCTTGATTTTAAAATTTTAAAATGTTGGTTTGTAATAAATTGATTTTGATGACAGTTATTTTAAAAAATATTGTAAGAATTTTGAAAGTTTCTTAATTGAAAATACATGAACATAAAAAAGTGTACATAAAATCACGGAAAATACAACCTTCACAAACTAATTTAACGGTATCTGTCTAATTTGTCGATAATTAAAGGAACTAAACGGTTAGATTTTGTTATTTTTCCCATGTGTTTGATTCGGCCAAGCATTGTAACACTTAAAATTAGACTCTTCACAAAATTATAAAACCCTCTGAGAGACATTGATAAAGATTATCAGCTTCAAATTAACACTAGTCAAAACTCGTTGTGGTGTCTACCATCCATCGTTGTTTTGATCGGAGATTGCCAAGTTTATCGCATGATCTTTCTGAGCCTCGTTTTAACCCGCCATTTTTATATGATTTCCGACTTTGTATAATTATATAATTAGCCAAAACTTAATTAGCCAGCCATGTTTCAATTCTTACTTTGTAAAATGACCTCTTGTTTAACACTATACATGTAACAGAGCGTAATGAAATAATTTGAATTAATCTGAATGTAAAATTGCATGACTGTGCAAGGGCATTGTTTACTGTCTCTGAATGATAATGATAAGAAATAGTGTTGGGTCATTCCTATTTCATTTTAATTTTTGACTTGTTAGTGAAATGCTTATGCAAATTCTAAAATATCATAATTAACAGAACGTGCTCAATTTTTAACAGATATTCAAATGTTATAATGCTTTTTATCAGTTATGAAATGAACATCTAACCATTTAGTCCCAGACAGATTTTTATGTTATATTTCATCAAATGGAAAGTGATATCTGAAATACATACACACATACCTAACGTATGTAAAACATCTGAATGTGCTGAGATTCAATTCTTCTAAATTTGCATCCATCTTGAAATACAACATATAAATCTTGAAACATGATTATAAATATTTAAACTTTTCAAGAGTTTCCTGACAACTATACATCTATACTTGATATAACTTATCTAAAATATCACAAACTTTACCCTATAACTTATATATATATGTCAATATTCATCCTTGAGATCTCAATTCTAGTCAAAGATAAACAGTTATACCATCTAAGGAATATTAAAAACAAAACTTATAGTGGAACACTAATCAATCATTTAGTTTTAAAATGAACTTATGAATCATAGCAATAATATTAAAAAACATTAACAATTGTTCAACCTTAAAAAAATATTAATGTTTAGATGTTAAGTTTTCTAAAAATGTAAAAAATATTCATAAATAATTTATATCCAATTTCACTTCCGATATGACTGCTGACTCTCCTATAAAATACATATTTTGGCTTATGGAAATCTAAATATAGAATAACAATTAATAAATATTAAATAATAAGGTCATATCTATACTGATGGCAGCTGATTCAAGGCAGAAACTTTTCAAACTTTTGAAAATTGAGATTATGTATTATCTTTTTATTTCATTTCTTTAAATTAAATTAAAAAAGATCACAAATCTAATGTTGCAGTTAATCAAAACATTCTAGTCACGGATGCACTTCTTCATCTCAACTATTTAATTATGTATTCGTTACAGAAAATAAAAAAGTCATTTTTAATTTCTGCTATAAACTAGCTCAATATTAGATTTCTTTAATGGCATGACTGAAAATGTTAAATTAAAAATATTTTCCTCCATCAACCCCTTTCTTTTTTACAAAATCTAAAAAAAGGTATAAACTAGAATTATTTCTTAAACAAATATAATTAGGGAGTACCTATCTGAATATTTGATAAGAGAGAGAAAAAAGAATTCAAAGTAAAATGAAGGATGTCATACACAGTATCTTTATATAACTATTCACACTATACCTGTACACAGCATGAAAACATTTTGCTTTTACATTAAGATTGAATACTCCAACCAAACTAAAACACTTGGTTTCCCCTACCGTTTTGTAAAATAAGACACAGTGTCAAGTAAAGCATGTTATAGTCGATTCATTTCCTAACTACTTGCTGATTGGCTGGATTCACCCTGCTGCTACATAGCATTAGATACAGTACAATTATACTACAATTGATATTTCTTTTCTCTTTTAATACAATTAAGTCTTTATCACCTAATTCAGGTAGTGTTTTAAGACAAGACATGTTATCAATTTTGTGAAATTTTGTAAATCATTATGGTTGCTATACAGAAAAACATCAATTTTAAAAATCAAGGTAGAAAGCCTTAGACAGAAGAATGTGTGTATGTCATGATTACATAATGATAAATAAAGAATTTGTGTCAACATTTTAAGAATTATTAACAATTTGGAAAAAAAGTTTAAAAATAACTGGAAACATCACTCCAATGAGGTAGATCTACACACTAAAATGAAATGGATAATACCGCTACAAATCTTTAAAATATCAATATTTTTACATACTTTTTACTTATCTTTCCATAATTTGTGACTCACTGCCTGTGTACAATGTACCAAATTTAATGTTTTAAGGAAATAAGAATCCCTACTGACAAATATCGAAGCAATAAGCAGCAAAAGTTAGACTAATCCCCAGGAAATAATCCCAAAGAAATTAAATTGAATTAATGGCTAACACTATTTGATTTTCTTGTCATAAACTAATCTCTCTGACTTTGAGTCAGAGGTAAAGAGTTGATTCCCTTGGCTCATTGTAGGACTAAAATATAAGACGATTATACATGGACCATGGAACCTTAAAAATTGGCACAATTTTTCTCTAGAGTATGATAGTCTTGAGACAGTTTCTCTTTCAGCATAACATTGTCAACAACTTAACTTTGCAATGTTTAAAATTTTCCTTAAAGAAATTTTTTTTTGGTTTTACACTCCTCCTATAATAATAAAAACTACATCTTGTTTTGTGTCATATCAAATAAAATTGAAATCACTGTCCCAGTGAATCACTGATTTAGAAATCATCACCTCCATCTTCATCCTCCTTTTCGTCCTCCTCGTCATTCTCCTCTTCCTCTTTTCCTTTTTCATCCTCTGCCTCTGTTTCCTTCACCTTCTCTCTGATGTCCTTCATCAGTTCGTTTCTCATTCTTTCCACCTCTTCACTGTCGCCTGGCAGAATCACAGATGGACTGATGAGAGTTTCCTCATCAGCCTCTTCTCTCAACATGTCCTCAAATTTCCCAGCGAATTGCTGAGCACTGTCAGTCTCGGCTCTTGTTATGGGGGCACTGCCAGGACGCTCTGGTTTGGGCTGGTTAGGAAGTTGTTCTGATGAAGGTTCAACAGCAGGACTTAGACTGACATTTGCTTTGTGCTTAGATTTGATCATGGACTGAAAACACAAAAACCAATCAACATGTAACACAAAGATATAGTTACACATTTCATCTTTGAAGATATATATATAAATGTTTGAACCATCTTTATGTTTTCAGAGGTTTGCTAAGATGATAAACCATGGTCATACTGAAGTTGTCAACACATTTATCACATCTAATGTTAACTTATTAAATACTAGCAAAATCTACTCATTTTAAGGTATGATAGTAATACCCTAATTTGGTATGGCGGAGAATTAATCCTCATGTATTGACCAGAAGTTGGCCAACACAACAAAACATACTCATTGGTGGATTTATTTGAATGAAAATAAACTTCTAACCAAAGTTTTCACTTGTTGTGTAAGCTCTTCAGATCGTCAGTCAACAAAAGAAATTTGAGACAGGAATAAACAAGTTTTTTTTCGAAGTATCTATATAGGAAGAAGAGAAAAACCACACTGATTTTCAGAACAGGTGCCCCAATACCCAGATCAAGGTCAGTGTAGATAAGGATTACACAGGGAGGTTGTACTGGATCATGTTGTATTACATTTACAGTACATGAATTATTTATCGTAGCGTTGTGTAAATTTATTCTTACATGCATCACTTCCTTAGCAGAGGACACTCTTTTGGCCCGAGACGCTTCACCGATGACCTTTTCGTTGTATAATTCTTCACATTTTTCTACATACAGTCGACTGCGATAGAAAATAAGATATCACTTAAGACAATGTAATCAAGACATGCTTTTGATATAAGGTATTCAATTTTGTGAAATATGTATCATTTATAAAAATCCTCACTGAGCAAGGAATGTAGAACAGCCTGTCAGTTTAGTTAGAACTTTCAGTACGAGTGCATTCACAGTGTTAAGACATTTTCCAATTTTGTCATCCGAGTCAACTGAAACAAGCTGAGTAATTCTTGTTCAAGGATACAACACAGTGACTATACTGGATTTTGACTACCATCATAGCCTGACTTGGTAACACAAGACCATTGTGCTTCGCATTTCAGTAACAAAGTTTATTTTTTTTTAAGCATTAATGATAACTGATTTTAAAAACTAATTCATTGATTGGAAAATAGAATTTGAGAGTGAATTTACATTATGTACATAAAATAGTGTCATCACAAACATTTTGTATAAATGTATAACATACATATGATATTTAATGGCTTCCCATTGAATACACTGTATCACATGTATTTCATGAGTATTATACAGTATCTAATATAGTTTTCCCCAAGTGTGAAGCATGCATGAAAATCTGATATGTTTTGTTGTACAAGTGAAATATGTATACTATTCAACAGGAAACCATTAAATTTTTTTTATTACATCTTTAAAAAAAAAAATTTGAAAAAGAGAGTCAAACCAAACAATATGATATAAAAGCGATGTTCAAAAATATATTGTTCACTATCTGATGTTACACTTGGGAACAAGATATCATCACTTTGAATGGGCTAGTTTACCTCGTATTCTACTGTTTTTATATATCAAATTATAGAAATCCAGAAATGCAGAAAATAATTGGTGGAAAACCAACTTATTCAACCTTCAATTCAATTGTGTCCAAACAGGAAATATGGTGAATATCAATGCAATGACTAGAAGGCACCACTCAGGTTGGTCAAAATAACAAACGTTATATCATCAGTGGAAATGATCATACAGGTTTTATAGAACTGATAAATTCCTATATTTTAATCATGGTAAAAATATAACAAAAATCTATCATAATGTCACATTCTTAAACATCATATCCTCATATTAAAATACTGATCTTCAACGCACCGTAATTCTATATTCTGTGTCATTAGGTCGTGTATTTTCTTCTTGTACTTCTCATCAACGCCTGACACTTTGTCCTCAAACTGTTCCTCATATGACATCAGCTTGACCCTCTGTCACCAAATAAACAGGTTTCAAACAATACACCAGTTTTCATTTTCCAATCTTGTATAAATAAATTTGTTATATATCACTGTCTAAGTAGATATTTAATGTATAATGATACCAACTATTTCTGTTTCTAAAACATGTGTTATTTGTGCCATCAGTACAGTATCTATATAGTGATAAAGCCAGGTCTGATAATAAGCCCATTCAAAATTATTTGAGTTTCAAAATGCTTTATCATTATCTTGTAATAAGCCCACATCCAAGGGGTCAACACACGATATATAACTGAAAGTCAGATGGTGGGCTCATTACTGGGCAAGACAATTATGATGAGACCAAACGTGAGCTCATGCTAGATAAATATGTCATTTTTGTTTCAAAGATAATAATTTTATCCCTTTATTAATGACACCCAAAAAATTTCATTTATAAGTGAAAAATAATCTAATAAATTCTTTCTCCTGCAGTGATTCAAAGATCATAGAGAGGTTGACTCTTACAGCGTCAGCAAGTTCCCGGGTAGTGTTGGCCATCTGTTGACATGTCGAGTCATAGGCAGTCTTCACTTGCTCCATCTCTGCCTTGACCTCCTGAAGACAACATAAAATAAAGTTAAGAAATGAGTTAAATACATAATTTTCAAAGGAAGCACTTTTTTTCATTGAATTTCAGTATATAAACATCATTACTACTGATCAACTAAATGATGACTGAAACCAACAACTGATTCACCGTTCTAGGGGTTGTTGATATATTTACCCATTTCACATCCAAATTATATGATTTTTCTATAAACAGTATCTGTAATCTAGATCTTAACCATAACCTCTGCAATAGACTATTGAGCAATGTGTCAACTTAAAGCAAACCAAAAGAAATCAAGTTTGCTAAAGTGATGACATAAACTTAAAAGAGTGACAGACATGAGGATCACTATAGTTATCTCCCTTTAATAGCAGAGGAATTGAAAATATGCAATGAAAACTGAGTACAACTTCAACTTAATTGCATTTGACAAATGAAAAGATACAATATCAAATCACACTGTGTGGAACACATCAAACACCTGTCATATTAATAAATCACAACTAAATTTAAATCTCTTATTGTTTTAATTCAAATTTCAGGAAACATTTCATTAGTATGTCTGATTGGTCTTTTAACATTTAATGAATTCGACCTTCATTTCTGGTGTCATTGATACATGAACAGATGCTGTCTCTCCTAGATCACCATATCAGACTTTCTGTGGTTTACATTTACATGGAATCCGTTGTTCAGATTTCTTATCTATTTATAATAAAGTCAATCAACATCATCACTCTCAAGTCTCATCAACAGGTTGATACATCAATATTTTATCAGTTTTCAATGTTAACATGCTCTCACCTTGAGTTCTGCTGTAGTTAACTTCAATCGCTCTAAGTCAGCTGCCACATTAGAAAACCGCCTGATAACTGACTGTAGAGATAAAAAACAATTTAACATAATGTGTACTGCTTGATTATGAAAGACAAATGAAAAAGAAACAAGCTCTTCAAAAATTTGTTTTGCTTAAAAGGTAGTTAGGAGAGGATTTTACAACTTATTGAATTCAGCAGAAATTTCCAAAACTTTCTGTTCATAATAATTCTCTCATGATTTCAAGATCGCCTTGTATAATGAATATGTAGAATCCATGAGAAAAATATTTTATAAAACATTTAGTTCTCGCTTTGACTGATTATCAACAACAATTTTGGGTCACAGATTAATAATTTAGATGATGAAATTCAAGGGCGATAACTCAATGAAAATCTAGCATCAAACTGTACAGTGGGCCATTCTATTACAAGTCTACATACGTCTAACTCTTTCTTGTGTTCTTTGCGTAGATTGTCCAATGCCCGAGCATGCTCCTTCCCTGATGAAATCCTCTCCGAATTTTTTTCCTGCATCATCTTTGCCTCTGTAACAAAATTTATTTTTTTCTGATCATAATATAGAGCTTTAAATGAGTTTTCATCCTGTATGAAATTTTATGAGACAATTCTTATAAGGTTTTATTTTTGCAATTACTGACATAAAAAATTTTAACTTATGCAAATTAAATAAATGCATGTAATGTATTCATGTATAAGTATGCAAAAACATAACGAAAAAAAGGTAATGATAGTATCAAGTTCAAAACAAATCATGTCAACCAAAATTTTTTTCTTAAAAACTCCCAGACAAGAAGAAAATTCATGTACTTCATTTTTAATGATATCACAACTTAATTCTGTTAAGAACAACACTGTGAATTAAGTTCTTGCTCATCCGTTTTTTCCCATTACCAATAAAATGGCTAATCATTTTACTATTCCTCACAAAGAGCAAATTTTTATGGATAAGTTGGATGATTCTTACTGAATTCATGCAGGGAGTTCATTTTTTGCTCCTCCAGTTCCACGCTGAGGTCATGCTCTCTCTTATTCCACTTCTCATTCATTTCCTCGTGAAGTGAGCTCTTGTATGATTCAAATGCACCTTGTAGAAACTCGATTTCTTTCTTCATCTTGGCTGTGTAAATAGAGTGACAGAAACTTTACATTCCAGTAGTGTCTGACTATATCTAAATTATCATTGTATTAGGGGTATGTACACTTTGTAATTCTTCTAATAATTTGTTTGGAGAGGAAATAAAGATAGTTCATACTGATTACTTACTGATCTGAGCTTCTGTTGTAATCTACATTATTTATCTCTGCTATAATCTACACTATTTATCTCTGCTGTGATCTACATTATTTATCTCTGCTGTAATCTACACTATTTATCTCTGCTGTGATCTACACTATTTATCTCTGTTGTGATCTACACTACTTATCTCTGCTGTGATCTACACTACTTATCTCTGCTGTGATCTACACTATTTATCTCTGTTGTGATCTACACTACTTATCTCTGCTGTGATCTACACTACTTATCTCTGCTGTGATCATACTGATTACTTACTGATCTGAGCTTCTGTTGTAATCTACATTATTTATCTCTGCTGTAATCTACACTATTTATCTCTGCTGTGATCTACACTACTTATCTCTGCTGTGATCATACTGATTACTTACTGATCTGAGCTTCTGTTGTAATCTACACTATTTATCTCTGCTGTAATCTACACTATTTATCTCTGCTGTGATCTACATTATTTATCTCTGCTGTGATCTACACTATTTATCTCTGCTGTGATCTACACTATTTATCTCTGCTGTGATCATACTGATTACTTACTGATCTGAGCTTCTGTTGTAATCTACACTATTTATCTCTGCTGTGATCTACACTACTTATCTCTGCTGTGATCTACACTATTTATCTCTGCTGTATTCATACTGATTACTTACTGATCTGAGCTTCTGTTGTAATCTACACTACTTATCTCTGCTGTAATCTACACTATTTATCTCTGCTGTGATCTACATTATTTATCTCTGCTGTGATCTACACTATTTATCTCTGCTGTGATCTACACTATTTATCTCTGCTGTGATCATACTGATTACTTACTGATCTGAGCTTCTGTTGTAATCTACACTATTTATCTCTGCTGTGATCTACACTACTTATCTCTGCTGTGATCTACACTATTTATCTCTGCTGTATTCATACTGATTACTTACTGATCTGAGCTTCTGTTGTAATCTACACTACTTATCTCTGCTGTGATCTACACTATTTATCTCTGCTGTATTCATACTGATTACTTATTGATCTGAGCTTCTGTTGTAATCTACACTATTTATCTCTGCTGTGATCTACACTACTTATCTCTGCTGTGATCTACACTATTTATCTCTGCTGTATTCATACTGATTACTTATTGATCTGAGCTTCTGCTGTGATCTACACTACTTATCTCTGCTGTGATCTACACTACTTATCTCTGCTGTGATCTACATTATTTATCTCTGCTGTGTTCATACTGATTTCTTACTGATCTGAGCTTCTGTTGTAATCTACACTACTTATCTCTGCTGTGATCTACACTATTTATCTCTGCTGTGATCTACACTATTTATCTCTGCTGTGATCATACTGATTACTTACTGATCTGAGCTTCTGTTGTAATCTACACTATTTATCTCTGCTGTAATCTACACTATTTATCTCTGCTGTGTTCTACATTATTTATCTCTGCTGTGTTCTACATTATTTATCTCTGCTGTAATCTACACTATTTATCTCTGCTGTGTTCTACATTATTTATCTCTGCTGTAATCTACACTATTTATCTCTGCTGTGTTCTACATTATTTATCTCTGCTGTGATCATACTGATTACTTACTGATCTGAGCTTCTGTTGTAATCTACACTATTTATCTCTGCTGTGATCTACACTATTTATCTCTGCTGTGTTCTACATTATTTATCTCTGCTGTGTTCTACATTATTTATCTCTGCTGTAATCTACACTATTTATCTCTGCTGTGTTCTACATTATTTATCTCTGCTGTAATCTACACTATTTATCTCTGCTGTGTTCTACATTATTTATCTCTGCTGTGTTCTACATTATTTATCTCTGCTGTAATCTACACTATTTATCTCTGCTGTGATCTACACTATTTATCTCTGCTGTGATCTACACTATTTATCTCTGCTGTGATCTACACTATTTATCTCTGCTGTGATCTACACTATTTATCTCTGTTGTGATCTACACTATTTATCTCTGCTGTGATCATACTGATTACTTACTGATCTGAGCTTCTGTTGTAATCTACACTATTTATCTCTGCTGTAATCTACACTATTTATCTCTGCTGTGTTCTACATTATTTATCTCTGCTGTGATCTACATTATTTATCTCTGCTGTAATCTACACTATTTATCTCTGCTGTAATTTACACTATTTATCTCTGCTGTGATCTACCTTATTTATCTCTGCTGTGATCTACACTATTTATCTCTGCTGTAATCTACACTATTTATCTCTGCTGTGATCTACATTATTTATCTCTGCTGTGATCTACACTACTTATCTCTGCTGTGATCTACACTACTTATCTCTGCTGTGATCTACACTACTTATCTCTGCTGTGATCTACATTATTTATCTCTGCTGTGTTCATACTGATTACTTACTGATCTGAGCTTCTGCTGTGATCTACACTATTTATCTCTGCTGTGATCTACATTATTTATCTCTGCTGTGTTCATACTGATTACTTACTGATCTGAGCTTCTGTTGTAATTTTATACTGATTGTGTTCCATACTCAGTGAGTTTGTGAGTTTTTCCATTTCCTCTTGGTTGTCCTCCTGTAACTCTCTGTAAAACAGATAATCCATAACTATGTGTAATTGATGTACATCCATTTTTCAATATTAATCAATTTCCACATTCATCTGATATTAGAGGAACCAAAATATAGCTGTATTGCAAAGACAATAAGGCTGTATTTCTTGGGAAGGATAACACTACACATTTTTGATATGAGCATATGTAATAAATGAATACAAAATTAGTATGTAATATCAATCCCAATTTCAATTCCGTATATATCATTGTATTTTATTTTAATTTCACTGAACATAGTAACATTGATGTTGACCAATCACATCATAAATAACAAAAACAAACATATATTTTTCTTTTTAAAAAAGTTGAATTTTTTGTAATTCCAAGCATGAAAATTCATTAAAAGTTACTTGCAATCCCTTTAGAAATAATACATGTAATATAAAGTTATGAAAAAAATGCCTTATTTAAATTATTAAAAGAATGCAGTGAAAACCAAAACCTGTTTTTAAAGTTTACCTCATATTCTCCTTGTGTTGATTGTTTAATTCTTCTATCTTGTCCTTGAGAAAATCTTCTGCCTGAATGAAAAATGAAATAATGGGTTTAATATGAACATTAATAACAAGCAAATGATTGGTATATATAGTTGTCTCCCTTACCCTCTGTTTAGTCTGTCTGTGTATCATAGGTGTATAGAGTTGTTTCCCTTACCTTCTGTTTAGTCTGTCTGTGTATCATAGGTATATAGAGTTGTCTCCCTTACCCTCTGTTAAGTCTGTCTGTGTATCATGGGTATATAGAGTTATCTCCCTTACCTTCTGTTTAGTCTGTCTGTGTATCATGGGTCTATATAGTTTTCTCCCTTACCCTCTGTTTAGTCTGTCTGTGTATCATGGGTATATAGAGTTGTCTCCCTTACCTTTTGTATAGTCTGTCTGTGTATCATGGGTATATAGAGTTGTCTCCCTTATCCGTCTGTTTAGTCTGTCTGTGTATCATGGGTATATAGAGTTGTCTCCCTTACCTTTTGTATAGTCTGTCTGTGTATTATGGGTATATAGAGTTGTCTCCCTTACCTTTTGTATAGTCTGTCTGTGTATCATGGGTATATAGAGTTGTCTCCCTTATCCCTCTGTTTAGTCTGTCTGTGTATCATGGGTATATAGAGTTGTCTCCCTTACCTTTTGTATAGTCTGTCTGTGTATTATGGGTATATAGAGTTGTGTTTCCTTACCCTCTGTTTAGTCTGTCTGTTTGTCATGAACATACCAATATATATTTCTTAACCCTCTGTTTAGCCTGTCTGTTGGTCATGCATATACAAAATCGTCTTCCTTACCCTCTTTATGATCTGTGTATAACGGGTATACAGAGTTGTTTTTCCTTACTCTCTATTTAGTCTGTGTATAATGAGTATACAGAGTTGTCTTTCCTTACCTTCTGTTTAGTCTCTGTGACATTAGTATACAAAGTAGTCCTCCTTACCTTCTGTTTAGTCTGTCGATGGTTTAGTCTCTCCTCCTCTAAGAACAGACTAAGGTCTGATATCTGCTGCTGTAGTTGACTTACAAGGGAATCCCTAAAGCCACAAAAAAATGTCGTATATTAACAATTTTGAAAAAATGGATTTTGAATTCATTATCAGAAGCCATGTTATCAAAGTTTAATAAAAAGATCTTGCACATGTTAAAGTCAGTTCCTTCATAACCTATTAGTAGTAATGAAGATTGATTTGACTTACAAGTATACACTGAACAGAAACATGTATAATGGACAAAGAAAATCATATCATGTTGATTTCATTTTATCAATTGAAACAGAAAGTATGAAATGGATACTCTGAAATTAAGATGATTAAAAACTTGGTTAAGTCTTACAAAACATCAAGAAGAATATACTTTAAACAGTCATCATGACTGAATTGAAAAAAGTTATCCTACAATAATCCTAGTTGGGGCCAAACAGATTCTTACTTAACTTCAGGGGAAGGATTTATTATAGGACTATGACTTAGAATTAGTTGAAATTCTACATAACAGCAATATGTAGGGGCGGGCTTATTATCAGGCATGGGTTATTGCTGGATATATATATATATGGTATGTTTATCTCGTCAGTTCATTGGTCACACTCACCTTTCATTACTTGCTTGTTTCTTCCTATAAACAAATCAATCAACAATTGATATCAATTTACGAACCAAGGAAATTGCGTTTATAAAATATCTACCAAGTATTAATTTGTATACAGTGTGCCTATATGGTAAATTAACTACATATATACCATAAAATATAATGGACAGTTAATTAATCATCATAATCAAGTGTCACCCAAAAATCAAGGATTTTTTCTCTTTTGCTGAAATGCGTCATTTAATCAGATCTCCCAACACATTTTACACAGTCACTGTTGGTAAAATTACAATATTTTAAAAAGAAAAACAAAAGTTAACTAAATTAACAATCAAACAGACTTTATGAAAAATAATCTACAAAAGTATCAAATTCTCAATGCAAGCTGAATATTTGAAAAGAAGAAGAACTCTTCACCAAAAGAACACCAAATTGAACTTTATCTATTTCTAGATAATCACACAGTACAACATCTGGACATTTCTCCTCTAAAGAAGCGGATCGATTGATTTCATCCTAATTACTAAAAATAATTAAAATAATAAAATTTCATTCTAATTTAAAATAAAATAATTGTTTATATCTATATTGATTATATGACAGATAATGTACCGAAGAAAGATTAACCTGCAGAATAGGAATTGAGTTGACATATTATCAACAACTCCCATAGTTATTTCATAGGACAATGCTGATAAGAATACATTCTGGGATATTTTGCTTAATCATTTAAGAAAGCTCTTGAAATAATTGAAGGAGAATTATTAAGGAATCATATTTTTGATAAAACTGTTTATACTCACTGTGATTCATCCACAACCGGATCGAAAAATTCATCTTTGATTGTGACTGCAAATTTACTTTTACTTCGAGACAGTAGGTATCCGGGGGCAACCACACAGGGTACCATTGGGGGCTTGAAAAAATGGACAATATTTAGATTAACTGACTAGTTTAAACTCATGCATTATGATTGTGATAATATTTTAGCTATCACATGTTTGGGAATCATCCTTGTTTTACCCAATAGCATACTGGGTCACCCACACTTAAATTATGGTTAAAATTTTAAGTAAAATATGTTTCATCATATAATGACCAAACTGACATTTCCTTCTTCCTTCTTATTTTGGAAGTTAGATTCTGCACATAAACCATTATATGGAGATTTAACTTGAGCAAATAATTTTATAATTATATAACGATTCAGAATTCTCGTAGAGTTGTGCCCCTTTTATAAAATCTTTATCAGGTGTCCTCAATTTTGACAATATGATATTTATCATGTTAGTAATAATGCTTCAAAAGAGACCACAGAAAATTTAATCATTTTTTTTTCATATCAGTTAGTACAATACTATCCAAAAAGATCATATAGAATGTTAATGACGAAATAAAACACTTTTTACCTCAACATTTTTCATCCATGGTGGGGCCTTCGCTGATCGTTTGTGTGGTATGTGTGTCTCCAAATTGTGTCTCCGTGTTGGCTCATGTTCTACCTGGAAAACTCGGTCACACCTTGAAATAGATATCAAACATCTGTTTCTTTATCAAAGCCAACATAACATATATCACAGTTTCTGTGGTGTGTATATTTTGAAAAAATCAGTATTTCATTTGTGACAGCAAAACTATAAAAAATTTATCAAATAACTTAATTTCCATGACAATAATTTGAAACTTATGTAACTGATATTTGTGCAATTGAAAATTTTGATTAAGAAAACATCTGTTCAGTATTGAGACTTAAATCAAACAATTCTTCTCAAAATACATAGATTTTAATTTGATTAATTTCATCAGATATCCATTCAGAATTTTTGTGTTTGAACTTTTTAACATGTTATATTATGATTGGAATGGTTAAGGTATATAATACTCAAGGTCCAATCAACAGCCAGGGTCATTTAAGGAAGGCCTTCCCATGTATGTGAGGTGAGTGTGTTGTAATTGTATGTTATAAAGAAACTGTGATTTGTTCATGGAACCTCCTTGTGATCAGGCGGAACTGAAAATATTGTTGATGGCCACCAGCAGGACAATCCACTAGGTTATGTTATCCTGACCAGTAGGTATAATTCTTTAACCCTACCAGTAGGTAAAATTCTCACACTCTACCAGTAGGTAAAATTCTCATACCCTGCCAGCAGGTACATTTCTTACACCCTACCAGTAGGTATAATTTTTACACCCTACCAGCAGTTATAATTCTTACACCCTACTGGCAGGTACATTTCAGCAGGTACATTTCTTATTAGGTACTTCTTACATCTTACCAGCAGGTACAATTTTTACACCCTACCAGCAGTTATAATTCTTACACCCTACTGGCAGGTACATTTCTTACACCCTACTGGCAGGTACATTTCTTACACCCTACCAGTAGGTACAATTCTTACACCCTACCAGTAGGTATAATTCTTTCACCCTACCTGCAGGTACAATTCTTACACCCTGCCAGTAGGTATAATTCTTTCACCCTACCTGCAGGTACAATTCTTACATCCTACCAGTAGGTACAATCCTTACACCCTACCAGTAGGTATAATTCTTACACCCTACCAGTAGGTACAATTCTTACACTCTACCAGTAGGTACAATTCTTACACCCTACCAGTAGGTACAATTCTTACACCCTACCAGTAGGTATAATTCTTTCACCCTACCTGCAGGTACAATTCTTACATCCTACCAGTAGGTACAATCCTTACACTCTACCAGTAGGTATAATTCTTACACCCGACCAGCAGGTACAATTCTGACATCCTACCAGTAGATACAATTCTTACACCCTGCCAGTAGGTACAATCCTTACACTCTACCAGTAGGTATAATTCTTAAACCCAACCAGTAGGTATAATACTTACACCCTACCAACAGGTATAATTCTAACACTCTACCAGCAGGTATCATTCTTACACCCTACCAGTAGGTACAATCCTTACACCTTTTTTATTTCTATTACATTTATAGGAAATAGAATTATCAACACCAATACAAGAGCATGTAAGAGAAAGTAAAGTTGTTATCAAGAAGGAACAGCATATAGTATGTTTTAATTCATTTGAATAGTGGCTAGGTTCAGAATATATACATGTACTTGACGTTGTTCTAAAATTAACTGATATATGAAAATTGTGTCTAGATTTTGATGTTTCTTTTGATCACTTTCTTTTCCTCTGTTGCCTCCTAGACTTCAAAATTTAAGCCCTTAACATCACTGACAAGTCCTTGAAGGACAAAACAGCTGTATGATGTAGCATCACTGACGAGTCCTAGAGGAAACAGCTGCATGATTTAACATTACTGACGTCCTAGAAGGACAATACAGACATGTCCTATGAATGATATAGCATCACTGACGAGTCCTAGAAGGACAAACAGCTGTATGATGTAGCATCACAGACAAGTCCTAGAAGGACAAACAGCTGTATGATGTAGCATCACTGACGAGTCCTAGAAGGACGAAATAGCTGTATGATGTAGCATCACTGACAAGTCCTTGAAGGACAAACAGCTGTAAGATGTAGCATCACTGATGAGTCCTAGAAGGACAAACAGCTGTATGATGTAGCATCACTGACATGTCCTAGAGGGACAAAACAGCTGTATGATGTAGCATCACTGACGAGTCCTAGAAGGACGATACAGCTGTATGATGTAACATCACTGACGAGTCCTAGAAGGACAAAACAGCTGTATGATGTAGCATTACTGACGAGTCCTAGAAGGACGATACAGCTGTATGATGTAACATCACTGACGAGTCCTAGAAGGACGAAACAGCTGTATGATGTAGCATCACTGACGAGTCCTAGAAGGACGATACAGCTGTATGATGTAGCATCACTGACGAGTCCTAGAAGGACGATACAGCTGTATGATGTAACATCACTGACGAGTCCTAGAAGGACGATACAGCTGTATGATGTAGCATCACTGACGAGTCCTAGAAGGACAATACAGCTGTATGATGTAGCATTACTGACGAGTCCTAGAAGGACAATACAGCTGTATGATGTAACCTAGAAGGACAATACAGCTGTATGATGTAGCATCACTGACGAGTCCTAGAAGGACGATACAGCTGTATGATGTAACATCACTGACGAGTCCTAGAAGGACAATACAGCTGTATGATGTAGCATCACTGACGAGTCCTAGAAGGACGATACAGCTGTATGATGTAACATCACTGACGAGTCCTAGAAGGACGATACAGCTGTATGATGTAGCATCACTGACGAGTCCTAGAAGGACGATACAGCTGTATGATGTAGCATCACTGACGAGTCCTAGAAGGACGATACAGCTGTATGATGTAGCATCACTGACGAGTCCTAGAAGGACAATACAGCTGTATGATGTAGCATCACTGACGAGTCCTAGAAGGACGATACAGCTGTATGATGTAGCATCACTGACGAGTCCTAGAAGGACGATACAGCTGTATGATGTAACATCACTGACGAGTCCTAGAAGGACGATACAGCTGTATGATACTTAAATTAATTGTTTGGCTCTAGAGATTTTAGTTGTATTTTCAGCTGTGACAATATTTGGGTAACCTATATAAACGTATACAATGGTATATCAAAGTAGGTATAAAGGTTTAGATAGGTACCCTAAGTACATACCTTAACATAACATAGACATTGTAATGTATTACAGACAGATCTATATTATTTCATGGGTGTGTTTGTACCGTTCCTTAGTTCACAGTTTTGACATCAGAAGTCTAACATCACAGTCTTAAGTAAACCTAATTCTATTTAATCCAAGAAACCTGCATTCCAGACAATGACTTGACCCATCCTTTTAGAAATTTGTAATCCCATGCAACTCTGCAACTTGAGAGTATAACAGGACTGCATGCAAAACCTGTCTCAAGATCATGAAATGCTAATGACTAAATCCTTGGGTTGAAATGTAATATAACTTACTGTGAGAGAAAATGACACAAAACGTTTATATCAAGGCAATGTTTGTTGGGTTAGTCATCCTAACTGAACAGCCATCGTCATTTTAAAGTGAGATCTTGTAGAACCTGGTGACTACCTCAATGAACAACATACGGAAGGCGTGCCACAAGCCCTTCAAAGCAATAAGAGCAAAGTGTCATGCCCAAGGACACATTGCCTCATCAGCACAGAATGGTATATTTCTCAGCTTCCCAAGAAACACAAAATGCCATGTAGGGAGTGTCAAACCACACATATTGGAATTTCTACTGAGGATACATAGGTCACGCTCTAACCCACTGAGCAATTGTGGCTGATTAAAATCATAGAACTTTTATATTATATTCAGAACTAGAAATTGATTACAGTAAGAAATGTCATGACTGAAATGTATTTTTATTGACATAATATGTCAGATTAAAGGCCAATTTTAATAAAGAGATATTTAAAACCATTTTTAGTAATCTTATATAAGTTTCCTTAAAATCACAAAACCTGGACTTACTCAGAACGAGGTGACACAGACAAAATGGAAGCCGCTGTTTTAGGACGGTGCATACGAGCTGGAGATCCTGATCCATTCTGGAAAGATACCCTCGTAGCAGTAGGGGTCGATCTGGAACACAAATTGGAAAATGTTCATCAGTTTTATTACATAAAATTAATGTAACCACTTAAATGTCTAAAATACTATTTTAATTTTTCTATAGATTCTGTAATGATTCATGATCATATATGGGCCAACAATTAAGTAGGCCCATATCACCAGCCCCAAAGTAAAGTGAATACAGAAAACAGATGGTCGGGTGGCGCAGTGTTAACGCGCTCGCCTTTCACCTAGCCGACCGGGGTTCGATTCCCGGAACGGACGTGAAAAGGTAAGGGGTCACCTGCCCGACCACGTGGGTTTTCCCCGGGTACTCCGGTTTCCTCCCACAATAAGACCCTCGCGCGCTTACATCCGGGCCAACAAGAGTGATTAGTATAAGTTGACATAACTTGTTTCGCAATTGTTGTAAAATAAATAAAGTTTAAAAAAAACAAAAAAAAAGATGTAATCACAGTATTAAGATTTAAGTCATTCTTGAGTACGTTACAAATAAATGCACTGTTACTATTTGGATTCAGTCCTAAAACTGAGAGACGTTTTATGCCCTATTCCAAAGCAAATCAAATCTGTGTGACATCGTCTTTACCTGAACAGTTGAAGTCTGGACATTAGAAACCTAAGATATATTGAACTCTTCCAAAGTATTCTCATGGAAGAATGTGTAGTTGACCATTTTATCAACCATCAGAAAAATCCCTGAGGAAACAGTATCACTAGAATTATTTCTAATTGGGATGGAAAATGACTGGAAGGAAAGGACATGGAAACAACCCTTCTCTCCCTGTCAGTCAATGAGAAGAGAGAGAGAATGTAGATGTACAAGCAACACAAGTGCACCACCGGCAACAGAGAATAATTTTTTCAAGCATTATTGGCTTTAGTGAAAGGTGTACTCATGGCTCCCTGCAGATTTGTTTTTTTTAAATCCCAATAAAGTGAGGCAAGGCTCTGGAATTTTGGTTGTATCATTTTTGAGAAAATTGTAATTAAAATTGTTAAGCCTGTGATTATCTTGAGGAGACTGTGATGTCAGAGAGCCTGTGATGTCTGGGAGCCAGTCCTGTTAGGAGCCTGTGGTGTATAACTAGGAGCTTGTGTACATATAAGGGGGGTAAGAAGGGTCCTGTGATATATCATCTAGGCACCTGTGACATTTAGGAGACTTTAATATCTAGGAGACTGTGCCTATCTAATAGCTTGTGTATGTCTCAGAGCCTGTGATATCTAGGAGCATATGTATATCTACAATATTGTATGTGTTTCTAGGTCCCTGTGTATATATACAATATTGTATATGTTTCTAGGTCCCTGTGTATATATACAATATTTTATGTGTTTCTAGGTCCCTGTGTATATATACAATATTTTATATGTCTCTAGGTCCCTGTGTATATATACAATATTTTATGTGTTTCTAGGTCCCTGTGTATATATACAATATTGTATGTGTCTCTAGGTCCCTGTGGCTATATACAATATTGTATGTGTCTCTAGGTCCCTGTGTATATATACAATATTTTATGTGTTTCTAGGTCCCTGTGTATATATACAATATTTTATGTGTCTCTAGGTCCCTGTGGCTATATACAATATTTTATATGTTTCTAGGTCCCTGTGTATATATACAATATTTTATGTGTCTCTAGGTCCCTGTGTATATATACAATATTTTATGTGTTTCTAGGTCCCTGTGTATATATACACAACATTATATGTGTTTCTAGGTCCCTGTGTATATATACAATATTTTATATGTTTCTAGGTCCCTGTGTATATATACAATATTTTATGTGTCTCTAGGTCCCTGTGTATATATACAATATTTTATGTGTCTCTAGGTCCCTGTGTATATATATATATACAATATTTTATGTGTCTCTAGGTCCCTGTGTATATATACAATATATATAGGTCCCTGTGGCTATATAAACATTTTATGTGTTTCTAGGTCCCTGTGTATATATACAATATTTTATGTGTCTCTAGGTCCCTGTGTATATATACAATATTTTATGTGTCTCTAGGTCCCTGTGTATATATACAATATTTTATGTGTTTCTAGGTCCCTGTGTATATATACAATATTTTATGTGTCTCTAGGTCCCTGTGTATATATACAATATTTTATGTGTCTCTAGGTCCCTGTGTATATATACAATATTTTATGTGTCTCTAGGTCCCTGTGTATATATACAATATTTTATGTGTCTCTAGGTCCCTGCGTATATATACAATATTTTATCTGTTTCTAGGTCCCTGTGTATATATACAACATTTTATGTGTCTCTAGGTCCCTGTGTATATATACAATATTTTATGTGTTTCTAGGTCCCTGTGTATATATACAATATTTTATGTGTTTCTAGGTCCCTGTGTATATATACAATATTTTATGTGTCTCTAGGTCCCTGTGTATATCTACAATATTGTATGTGGTTCTAGGTCCCTGTGTATATATACAATATTTTATGTGCAATATTTTATTAGGTCCCTGTGTATATATACAACATTTTATGTGTCTCTAGGTCCCTGTGTATATATACAATATTTTATGTGTCTCTAGGTCCCTGTGTATATATACAATATTTTATGTGTCTCTAGGTCCCTGTGTATATATACAATATTTTATGTGTCTCTAGGTCCCTGTGTATATATACAATATTTTATGTGTCTCTAGGTCCCTGTGTATATATACAATATTTTATGTGTCTCTAGGTCCCTGTGTATATATACAATATTTTATGTGTCTCTAGGTCCCTGTGTATATATACAATATTTTATATGTTTCTAGGTCCCTGTGTATATATACAATATTTTATATGTTTCTAGGTCCCTGTGGCTATATACAATATTTTATGTGTCTCTAGGTCCCTGTGTATATATACAATATATACAATTATGTGTCTGTGTATATATACTATTTTATGGTCCCTGTGTATATATACACAATATTTCATATGTTTCTAGGTCCCTGTGTATATATACAATATTTTATGTGTCTCTAGGTCCCTGTGGCTATCTACAACATTTTATGTGTTTCTAGGTCCCTGTGTATATATACAATATTTTATGTGTCTCTAGGTCCCTGTGTATATATACAATATTTTATATGTTTCTAGGTCCCTGTGGCTATCTACAACATTTTATGTGTTTCTAGGTCCCTGTGTATATATACAATATTTTATGTGTCTCTAGGTCCCTGTGTATATATACAATGTTTTATGTGTCTCTAAGTCCCTGTGTATATATACAATATTTTATGTGTTTCTAGGTCCCTGTGTATATATACACAACATTTTATGTGTTTCTAGGTCCCTGTGGCTATATACAATATTTTATGTGTTTCTAGGTCCCTGTGTATATATACAATATTTTATATGTTTCTAGGTCCCTGTGTATATATACAATATTTTATGTGTCTCTAGGTCCCTGTGTATATATACAATATTTCATCTGTTTCTAGGTCCCTGTGTATATATACAATATTTTATGTGTCTCTAGGTCCCTGTGTATATATACAATATTTTATGTGTCTCTAGGTCCCTGTGTATATATACAATATTTTATGTGTCTGTGTATATATACTAGTGTCCCTGTGGCTATATATATACAATATTTTATGTGTCTCTAGGTCCCTGTGTATAAATACGATATTTTATGTGTCTCTAGGTCCCTGTGTATATATACAATATTTTATGTGTTTCTAGGTCCCTGTGTATATATACAATATTTTATGTGTCTCTAGGTCCCTGTGTATATATACAATATTGTATGTGTCTCTAGGTCCCTGTGTATATATACAATATTGTATGTGTCTCTAGGTCCCTGTGTATATTTTATGTGTTTCTAGGTCCCTGTGTATATATACAATATTTCATATGTTTCTAGGTCCCTGTGTATAAATACAGTATTTTAAATGTTTCTAGGAGCCTTGGTACAATACAATACAATATTATACATGTTTCTAGGGGCCTCATACTTACAAGTAATTCACAAGTAACTTCCTAGGATCCTCATCATTTTTTAACTGATGTGATTCAGTTTCCTGACTTAGTTCACCATCAACAATATTGCACATTCCATTTTCCTCCTCTATTAATGGTTTTGTCTTAAATTCTAGTTTTTGCTTTGACGCTGTAAGTTGTTCATTTGATTCGGAACTTGTTGATTTTTTATCTAAATTCTTAACTGGTGTTTTATAAACAACCGCATTATTACTTGGGTATTTCAGCACTCGCTCATACAATCTTCCAGAATTTTCAACAGACACTTTTGTTTTTGTAGGGTTTTCCAGATTCACAACAAATGGCAATTTTTCCACTTCAACGTTCTTTGAATATTTTATCGCTTTGTCAGAATGATCATCACCAAATGTATGGAAGGTCAAAGATCTTGAATTATTTCCAACTTGTGGTAAAATCCACTCTGTTGAATCCACAACCCCTTGTTGCCAAGACGATACAACAGAACTCTGTGTTTTAATCATGATTTCGAATTTTAAAACAGCAGATATTATATCAAACTTTGAAAAGTATTGGTGATGTTTGCAATAAAAATACAATAAGATGAAATTTTTGTAAATATTTTGAAAATCCTGCTAAACAAAAAACTATAAACACAAACTACTACAGTACTTTTCAAGCTCAAATACTCTTAAACTCATCTGATATGCCAGTGGTAGATTTTATATCTGACCTTCATGCAATTTCTAAATTTATAAACTGACGATAATTCCCTCATTTTTAACATCCATACATCCAATGAAAGCACTTCAGTAAATCCTATCTTCACATATTTGAATATTCTCACACATTGCTTCCAACTCCAACTATTAGTCATAATATTACAAGACCTTCCAAATGTCAATAAAACATCCTGCAACTACAGGACACAGCCGTGTTGTAAAAATAAACAGACCAAAATATCAAAACCAAAACTTTCTTTTCAATATCATACTGTCGACTGTAATATTACACAAATCTCCCAGTACTACTTGAAAACACGACCAATTAACACATCATAATTCCGATCTGAGTCGAGCCATTACATACACATTTAAAATCCTTTCAAAAATTTTGCACTAGGTAAATGAGCTATAATGGTAGTTGCCCAAACATCACGTTTCAGAAGATATCTGGTGTATGTTAGCCTGTCATTGGCCCAGACATTTAATCAGTACGGAATCTGTTATAAAAATTGTTTACACTGGTATATTTACAGTGACTTTCAGGTTATTGATGTGTATAATGGTGTAGTCTTTCAAAAAAAGCTTAATACAAGCTGAAAGAAAATATATACTACATGTGCTTTAAAGTTTTGTAAGCTTTTACACACAATGAAATGAAAATTGTATTCGAAGAGATATTTTGTCAATAAAAACCCATTGTATTTTACCTAAGTTCTGAAAATGATCACTAACACATATTTAATGGACAAAACCTGATACCCATTTTTCAAATTGATCTATTTTTAATGAATTTTAGTATATTTAAAATAATCAATTAAGTACAGATGACTCAGGTTAATTTTAATGCCTTTCTGTCATGTGAGTGTGACAAATTTGTCAGGCAAAAATTTACTCAAGAAATTTTTGATTTTGGCAAGTCATGTAACATAATTTCAAAAATTTTGACAAGTCCCGTTACAAAGAGATTTCAGTGAGTCCCAAATAAATAACGCTAGTCAAGAACTCAAATATTTTGCCCCAAAAATCCATGATTTACTAATTATGTCAAAATTCAAGAATACACATTAACCAGAAAACTTTCGTGTTATGGATATTTTTGAAGTTCTTTTTTTCATTTTTTTTTATTACCAGACCAATGATTTTTATATCATTAGATTTTTATTATACCTAAATCACATAAAGATAAAAATACCAAATATCTTGTACATGTATATCCTTTCATGTTTGAAATAATTTCCATCCTGTAAGTATCAATGATGACAGGGCGAAGATTAACCTTAACTAGCCATAATGAACATCTTATTTCTGGGAGTAGGGTAATACACTTACTAAATTAGTGAGGTTTATAGACTTAGACTTATAGGTTTCTGAATAAGCAAGTGTTCAAATCTACATACTAAACATATTGTGGACATTAATACAGGGGGTTTATGAATGTGACTCAAACGGAGATAATACCATTTAGCCATCTTTTTTTTAAAATAATCCAATCCTTAGATTCTTTCTCTAATTGTTAAATTTAAGCCTCTGATGTGGAAGATCAAAATTGATAAACTAATGTAATAAAAACATGAAAGTAAAAGTAAGTGTAGATAACACAATGTGAAAAGAAGGGAGATAATCCACTCGAAAAAGGAAGCAAGTGTTGATATTTGGTTCCTAAAATAAACTATAACAAAGACCACTTACACATACCTGCTCAATGAAAGAATATCAGTTTCTTGTCCTGAAGTTTAATTACATTTAAGTTTTAAAGTTTGAATTTTATTTTCAAAATCAAAGTTAAACTAAATTTGTTTGAATACAACCCAGTAAATATGATGCATGGGAATATTTTTATGCTAAAAAATTTTGGCAGGTAATATCAGTAAATCACAACAATATGGTAATTTTTAGAAAATAACAATTGATATTTCAATCTATAAAAAGATTAAACATATTTCTACAACTTTAAACAACCAGATTCTGAAGTCCCTGGTGTAGAACCTCACAGAACACTGTTGTACCTAGACCGAGAACATCCTGGTACGAAGCTGCCTGACATGTAGATCCATTTTATTTTTTAGACCAGCGTATTAAAACTGATCTATTATATCTGTTGACAAGATAACAGATAGTCTTTGTATACATTGATCACATTAAGGCAAAATATGATTAAGGTTGATAGAATCTCTGGAACACAACAATTTAAATGTACCATATAACACTTGGCTATGTATAGAGAGTCCTCTTATGCTGAATGGTGTAAGCCCCACCTTAACAATATCTTGTTATTCAGTTGATTCAGGCTACTGAAATTTGCCTTGGCCTATATAAGGGTCTTGTCAACCAGTAACAGTAATTATGGTCTGGAAAATAAAATGGATATGCCTGCTAGCTTTGTACCATAGTGTGTCATGCCCTATATATTGTGTACAGTTCTTGGTTTATAGGTAATAGAATGTACATAGCTCACAGATAAAATTAAAGGGGTTTACCAGAAACTCATATTTCCTATAAATTTATCAACATTCTCTTTTTATTTCTCTTCAAGATTTATTGTCCTAGACAGGATCAGTTTGAGGCAGGTTTTCCTTGTCGTAGTTGGTTGCTACCTCACTGAACAACATATGGGAGGATTCAATTCAGAGAAGGACACAACCATGTCAGCACACACCTGAGAAACACAAACCATCATGGCTAGGGACAGTTTAAGTAAGGTGTAAATGACACTGACTGTTTACTTGGCAATAAATATGTGAAACAATTAGAGCATCCCCAGGTTAGGATGTTGTACTCACAGAGTGCAGTATTTAACACTATTGGATTAACACCATTAAAGATCAGTCATAAAAAAACAAAATATATGACAATGAAAATCACACGAATAAATGTGTAAAGTATTCATTGCCACCAAATTCAATAGCGACAATGTCATGATCAATCTTCATCCCATCGAAATGGAATTTCAAGATCACTGACAAAAGATCAAATAAAAAATAATGAAAATAGAGTTTTTATTTCACGGCCACCATAAGAAATATAAAAAATGTCCATGTCTTCAAGTTAGAAATGGCCATTTGTTTTACAGTGTTATATACAAACTGTCATCTCCATTTTATTTTTCACGGTCATGAAACATGGAAGGAATTATACTTGTATGAGAAATCATGGCCATGATATTTTTTTGAAGGGTTTGAAGTTATGTTTATGAATTGAATCAGTTTACATGGAAAGTTTATCCTAAAAACATCACTACTTTTTAATGGCATCATGAAAAATATTTAAATATGATTTCATTCTGTAACATAATTTCATTGGTTAATTTGATTTTCATGGTTATTTTAAAATTTGTTCAATGGACTTTGTTTCCAATAGTGTACTAATGCCTTTGAATATTACATTTATACTCTTCACCAATACTCGTACTTTTGATTCAGCAATTTTGATATATCGTAAACTGCTTCAGCATTTACTCAGAATTAATTGTTTTATCTGCAGCAGCAAATTAATTTTCAGCCATTTTTTACTTACGTAGTATAATATTCTCTATTGTTAAATTTCCCAATCATTTAAATATCAATCCTTAATAAAGTCAACCATATTTTATCATTTTTTGTCTGACAAAAGGCAACAGCAAAGAAAGTGAAAGTTAAAAATGTGGCAAAAGTTTCAATGAATTTTAATTCTGTATGCTAAACCCACACACATGCACCATTACAGTGTATGCTGTAACTATTTTATCATAGCTTACATGTAATCTTTCCACAAACTGATTTCAGAACTTAATTCTATAAGCAAAGATATTAAGATTTATTTGTGCACTAACTTACTTGGAATCTCCTGTCATGATTTCAGCTCTCAATGCAAACGAAAGGACTTGACATAATAATTGGTAAAACTGCAATACGCAGGTATAAACGAATCCAAATGCTTACTAATCAGAAAGGATCGGACATATTCCTTTCACTAGCACATTTAACACTTTAAACATTTGTCATTTCCACAACTTTTTTTATAATGTGAAAATTACAGTTCCTGCCAATAAAGATCTTGCAGATTAAATTAAATATTCTGTATATTATATATATATATTCACATGAGTAAAGAATTAAAGGGTTATTAATTCAAGTCAAACTTTTGTTACAATGCACAACTAAATACTTTAATAGGATTGCTAGTCTGTACTTCTACTGAATGATTACCTTAAATATATTGCAGTAATAGTCAAATTATTTAAATAACCACTCAATGACCTTATGCTGACTTTATACATAAACATGTCCGGGATTGTGGGAACTCTTTGGATTTCATTTCAAATCCAGTTCATTGGATTTAAAACATAAATAAAGGCATGATTACATATATATTGTAACTTTAGGGGATATATTCACTTTCCTGTTTAGAGATTTGAGGCAGACACTATAATAGTTAAACAATTATTGTAAATATAGAATTTCCAGCTTGTAATGAATTGTAGTCAAACAAAATGAAGAAAACATGACATCTTCTGTAATACAAATGTACTATATTACATTTGTAATATTAACACAGTTTTAACACAATATCTAGACTGTATCTGAAATCATCTGACTTACTTCTCACCTTTAAAAAAAGGTCAAATTTATGAAAATTGTGAATATCATTTTATACATACCAACAAAACAGTTAATAATACTGTATGGTTATCTATATTTTCGGGGAACTAGTACACACCAAACACCCTTATTTTTTAATTATTACCTTGCATGTAGCAAACATTTAAAATGAATTTTCAGATTTTTTAATTCAGTGTAAGACATAACAAATAGAGGTAAAGC